CGATAGAAACACATAATTTTTTATTTTCTACGTATGACCTAATCATCTATATTGTTTCATCGTAACATAATATACTGACGTAATTTTTTCGTAATGTGGAGCGATCAGGCGTTTATTTATTGGTATATTTTTCCAAAAATTTAGATAACGCAGGATTTTCGAGTTTATTTAATGAAATATTACATGACAAAAATGTACGAGTTAAATCTAAAAAATATTTGGACCGGTTTGGTACGTCTGTAATAAAACTTTGTGTATTATTTTTTTCGTTTTGTAATTTACTCCGTTCTACTCCATTGATGTGTTTATCTCTTGACAAATGTTGTTGTACGGCAAATCGTTTTTCAGCAGTAACTTTCACGTTGCATATTTTACAGAATAACACCGATCCGTCGGTAGAAAAAATATTATGTCCAAATTCTTGTACAAACCCACGCAGTCGACTCGCTGTCGAACATTTTACTTTTGGCATTTTTATATTAAATTATCAAAAAAAAATTAACTAGAGTAATAAAACGGTGTTAACGACGACAAAACTCGTACTGAACGTCGAACGATAATATCATCGGACGTCGATTTTATCGATTTAAGATTATTTAACAGGAAATTCGGGTAGAGGTTACTCAAACCTTGTCCGATAATATAATACGAATTACGAGTAGGTATCTACTTATAATCTGTTATATTTATTTAAAAACCACGTTTGTGTAAAAATCTTAAAATCTTAAAATAAAAATTTCAAATTCATACACTTTGTTTCCAAAAACTCAAAAAATGCTCCGAAAACTCTAAAATGCCCTAAAATATTAATAAAATGACTTTAAAACTAAAAAATGCAAAATAAACTTTCTTATTCTCATTCAAATGTACATAAAACAAATTTTTGACAAGACAAGCATTGCACAGTAAGCTTTGAAAAACAATGAAATGTGCATCGAAATCCCAGCCCTAGTTATTAGTGTTATTATTTGTATTTTTAAGTTGTTATACAATATGTGAGGGTATCATTATGACCTTCTATAAACCATAAATTTCCTATAAACATAAACAAAATTCATAACATCATTTCATTGGATAATATAAACTGTACATGTACATGACTATTTTATTTAGTAAAGTTAAATAGTTTTTTTTTACAAAAATAGTGTAGTGCTTGTCAAATTTCAAGGAAATGAATTTTAAGCTTAATTTGGCCTAATTTTGACTGCATATAAAAATTTAGAATCAAATTAACTTTGCACGTAACGATTTAATATTTTAAAGTTGTTTAAAGAAATTAACACAGCAGTGTTTTTAATTTTAGCAGAAAAAACAACTTATTTTTCATTTAAGAAAAAATTAACTTTGTGATTCAGTATATTTATAATACTACAAACAAGTTTGTTTAAGTGAACAATTTTGAAATGCATTTCAATTAATAGCTTGACTGATAAATATATAGAATTAATTGCTTTCATAAATGTTGAATACCTAATTTAAACATTTCAAAATTTTATTATTGTAAATTGGAATATAATAATGTTTCAATGTTATAATTTTTCTTTTACTACAATTTTTGATTATTTGGATTTGAATTCTTGTGGGATAAATTTTAATAGTTTGGTTAAGATTATGATGGGTCATCAGAATGACAGGCCACATAAAAGGAACAAAAACTGTATTGCTAAAAATGTTCACTATATACCATATTCATTGAATCTGTGCAATATGGTGATATCAGCTGCTTTTAATATTCAGACTATAGAATAATATTAAGGTAAAGTCGAAAAAAATACTGTTTATTTAATACCCCAAAACAAAATATCGTTTTTTGAATATAATTTAGTAATGTGCTATTTGGATCCTAAAGGCGTTAAGTTAATTTTTACAAAAAACAAATATTGAAGCAGTTGAATTAGCCGAAATTAATTTTGTTACAATTCAATGTTTATATTATAATATTGATAAAAACTTCAAACAAACATTTATAGAAACTGAAGTAAAAATGTCTACCAAATACTAGACAACAATCAACATAAACGAAGCTCTATAACTTTTTTAAAAATAAACCCCTAAAATAATATGATCACAATTGTAATTAGGCATATGAATCAACAAAACAATCATCAAGCTAACCCTAGTAAAATGAATCTTACATCAGAAACTCAATATTATGTCTTTTGCATTACACAGACTCGTTCATTCAGTAATTAAAAGCAAGTTTTCTATGTCATAAAAAATACTCAAAAGTTTGTTAAATAATAATTTTTCTTAATTTTAATACTTGGAAAATTAATTTGTTTTTTATGCTTTCAATATGTATTATCTAGAACTTATTAAATTTTATTTTGATGCTTACTAGTAAATCATTCAGGATACACAAATATAAAAATGGCATTTAAAACTTCAAATACATGCTGAATATTCAAAACATTATTTAGAATCTTTAAATAGAAATATATATTAGGTAATATTTCATTATTTCATTGTATTAATGATTCTACCGTTATTAACATCCAATCCTGAAAGAATACATACTCGTCTCAAAAAATTGAAAACTTACCTATGAAGTGCAATAAATGAAAATAATACTTGGATATTAAAATAAAAATATTGTTAATTTTTTATTTTGACAATCCATTTTTTTTTAGACATAATTTAATGGTTTTACTAAGTTAAGAGTTAATGGAAAAATCTCACTGACGGTTAAAGAAGAATTACATTAATTATTTTAAAAACCAAAAAAATTAGATTATGTTGTAACGTGGCTGGGGAACCTAGTTACTATATTAGTTATCCAGGGAAGGTTTTCTGGTCCTTATGGATAAATTTTCCGTAGCTAGGGGGTTAGAACACGGTATGTGGGATCTTATCAATAAATAAAACACGTTTGGTTTATAAATCTCTGTTCAAAATATATTTTTGGTTTGTACTTAACAAAATGTAGATGGTGGTAAACAATCCCGGTGTTGGTGAGTTCATGTTTTTTGGTGAGTTCGTGTTTATTGCTGGTCAGTCTCGAACTGCCCTTTCGATAAACGGTGCATATTGGCCACAGGCCTCACAATCATTAACAATGTTTATCTCAGCATAAATATCCCACTATTGCCTACTACGGAATTGACACATACATAGGTGTCATGTAACAATAATATATATTATTGTTACAATGTTATATAGGTACATATATTATTTTAATGTATTATATTAGCAATATAATGTATAAATCTGTTAAGTGTAATTTTACAAAAAACAAAGAGAGGTAAAACTCTTTTAATTTTACTAGAGATACTGTACTAAGTAGAGAAACTCTTTTTATCATATGTTTGTAAGAAACCAATTTAAATAGCTCCAACATAAGCAATATAAATGAATACATTACACACAACTAAAATCACACTGATATCAGAATAAGCAGTGAAATTGCATACTGATTAACTCTGTAGACATGGAACAGAAATGTTATTCACAATTAATAAAAGCGTATTTTAGGGCATTGAAAATTTTACAAATTTAAAAATATTAAAAAAATAATAGCGTGTGTCAATTGTTTAAATAAATATTATAGCTGAACAGGCAAAAGCACACATTAAAATACTGAGTAATATTTTGTTGAAAATCATTTTATTGTAGAAATCGGATGGTAAATTAAATGTATCACCAATATCATGTTGAATCTAATAAAATAAACCGTAAACAAATAAGTATCATATGAACATGTGAAAAGTATGATCTAGTTTTAGCAAGTAAGGTACAAATATTTTTCGATTAATTGTAGAGCATAATAAATATTTTAATTTTCCTCAAAACCATATTTTTTTTAAAGTTTAAACAGCACAAGATCATAATAGGAATGAATGCAAAAACACCAAAGGACTAGACACAAGTTATTTCATGACGTTATATCTAAGGTATTACAGGTGTATTGCAGTTGTTTTTTTTTACTAAAGAATAAAAAAAAGTTAATCATAATTTATGAAATTATTTATTCGTTACATTGCAATAACGACACATTTCAATCAAGTTTTTAGTGTACCAATATCGTATTGTTATTGAAATTTTAATTAGTGGACAATCCGCATGAAAAACATGATTAATCGCACAAAAAAGGTATGTAAAGAACGACCTTTCGCATACAAGTAGATTACAGATCGACCAGTTTTATTGATTTAGTAAAATTTATATTTGAAAATTTCTTATTGCGAATTTCATTAGGCGACTTTTTCTTAAGTTAATTTAATGAATTCTCAGAATAGGATAAATAGCTAACTCTTGCAATGCATTTTTACTATTTAACATGCCCACACTTTTAATCATTATTGAAGTGGATAACAAAATTATCATTAATTTTAAGAACTATATATATGCTATCTATAAAATTGTTTTGTTTCTCATTAATCCTTGGATCATCCTTACAAATCCGACGTATTCTGTAGGCTATAAACTACAAATCATAATATTCAACCTACCAATTTTGATCACGGTAACGTTGTAAATCTACAAAGATAACATTTTCTAAATGATTCACTTATTGATAATTAATCGATATTGGCTGGTGTGCCTTAAATCTTATATACCCATGTAACAAGCGCCTAAAAATACATTAACAAATACATAACTGTTATCGTAAGTGTTCAATAACTGCGTGTGACATTGTTAACTCAGTGTTATAAATTATAATAATTCAAATCTAATCAAACGTCTTAAAAATATTTCACCATATTAATAAATGGCGTGTTCAATGGTGTGAGTGCATACCCGGAGAGCGGCTATACACCCTACTAGTGATCATTTCGCTTTTGAGTTTTCAGAATTAGACCCGATGTCTCATTAGTGATTAATAAAAAAATGTATGGTATTTTAGTACAATATCTTAAATTTAATTTTAGTGGTTATTTTATAAAATTAAAATTTCTTGTATTAGTTGTAATTATTTGTTTACAGAATATTTCAGGCTGTAATAGTTACAATAATACTATAAAACCTAATATAAATCAAAGAAAATATTTTATAAAGATTATCGTTACTGTTGTATATTTTATGGTAACCTATTGTAAGTATAAGTTTCATCAAATTCACTTTTTTATGATTTATACTGATTAAAATGTTATTTTTCAATCTTTTCAGCTCACTCAATTATATTATGTGAAGAAACTGCCAAAAATGAAAATTCTGAATTAACAAAGTCGGAAAGTCCAAAACTATATTGTAACGTTACTATAGAGGCAGATAGTATTAGAACTAAACTATTAATTACAGTTTTTGTTAAAAAGTCTAAGAAACGTAGTTGGTTTTCTTTCTGGGGAAATCCAAGTGAAGAAAGTAAGTTTAATGTACCTACTGGAAGTGTTAAATTTAAATAATTAAAGGCATTGTATTCAAAAATTGATTCTAAGGAAAATAGATGGGTATATCAGCATAGGTTTTAGATTATTAGAACGATACAATGAAATGAAACGAAACGAAAACACTCTGAGTTTTTAAAGTTTCACTATATTATAATAAAAACAAAGAGTGCGGAAGAAGTTGCACGACGCCACGACACGACGGAGCACGACAGGGGAGGGGGCTTATCGAACGGTGTGTCGACCGTTGCAATGCCGGAATTACTCTGACTATTGCACCACAGGGTAGGTGACTGATCGATGCAATGCCAGAATAACTCCAACTATTGCACCATTGACCGAGTCACAAACCGTTCGACAAGTGAGGTCTGGGAGGCCGCCTTTCCTATTTGCGCAAGTCTGCCCGGGTGGGTCTTACTACAAAGTCGGAAAGACGGAGAATGGTATTGATGGTCGTGTCGTGGGGCCTTTTATACCCGGTCTATCGGCAATTACATCGGGTCGGTCCCGTGTTCTGTGACAGAAACACGAGAAGATACCCGGTGAATCAGTGATTACACCAAGTCGGTCTCGTGTTCTGTGACGAAAAGCACGAAAAACCCAATCGCTAACTGCCGATAGACGTACAATTTTCGGGATAAGTGCAAATGTCCATAATTCTCCACGCACATTACCCAAATCATAATTTAGATAATCATGCGTGGAAAATACAAACACCTGCACTTATCGCGCACAGCGCATACAATAATCAGATAATAAATTTGTCACGCAATGAAAACAATAATATAAGAATATAAAATAATAAGAGAAAATAAAAAATAAAAATAAAATAGAACATAATAAGAGTATGCGTAAACAGAATATAACTAAAAATATATGCAATATGCATATATATTTGTACATATAAAGATTATCAAAAAATTTTAAGGATTTATCATTATTTTATTTTAGTTATTACATAATGATTAAAAAATTATGTCCGTAAACAATTTCTATCGGTTATATTCTATACGCTCCGGGACTGGGATTGTTATTAACATGCACATTTAGTCGTTGGATATGATAAATTTGAAGTTCAGCAATGATTGTTCTTTAGAACGGAATAATCATTGTAGACACATGAAAACACCTGAAAACTGAGTAACGGATATCCCCAGCAATCTTAACATCAAGCTTATATGATGTTAATAATTCGATTATGATTAGGTTATTAAGTCGTTGTGGAATTGTAATTTGTAGTTTAATAGTTCCCTTGAGGCTTATAAGGTGTATGCAGCTAAGGTTTGGTATTTTTTTTTTTTTTTTTTGCTCAGGGAAAAGAATATTATGTTTAAATACCTTTCATTATGTACAGATTACATGTAGTTTAAATGTATAGAAATGTAGCAAACATAAATTAAAAAAATATAATTGTATTTTAATTTGTTAATTCAATAGTCTAACACTCCATAAATATTACACTAGTTTTGCGCCAGTTTTTAACAAATAGCAAATGTAAGCCACTCAATCAGTTGAATGGTAGAATTATACTGGATAATGCCAGTAATTTAGCTAGTAAATATTTAAAATAATTAATATATTAGTTATTGGTAATGTATTGGTTTAACTTTGTTTTACTAAAAAATATAAAACATTATTGTTTATACACACATGACATGTATTGTAGTGCTTAACTTGTATATCAGATAATAAATTATTTAAAATTTATATACAAGCTTACAACAATGATTATATTGTTATTTTTATTTAAATTTAAAGGTTATTATGAACTTATAGACCATGTTGGTCGAGTGCATGAAGGTGGTATAGTTCAATTGTACAATAAAGATAAACTAGTGAGAAAAAAATATATTATTATTTGAATTAACAGGAACTTAATTAATTAAGTTGAATTTACGTTAGATATTATTTTTCAATTAAATTTTGTTTGTTACAGGGGCGTATTGTGATATATGATTTAGTAAGCTTTGGTCAAAGTTTTTTGAAATATAAATATAAATATGAGAAAACATTACTTGTATTCGCATTAACAGCTGGTTTAAGAGTGTTTAATAAAGAAACCGAAGCAATAATCCATGGAGTATTTTAATTTATTTATTAATTTTCTCAAATTCCTCAAAATTCTCAAGTATAATTTATTTTTAGATAAACAAAATGGTGACTGAATATGACAAAGAATATCAAATAAATGAAAATACAATATTTGTAATGAATGAAATTCGTGAAGGACTTTATGCATGGTTAACAGTTAATTTTATGAACAGTAAAACATAAAAATATAAAAGAATACTATAATTTAATAATACTTAATTCATAAATAAATTATGAAAATGTATTTATTTTTAGATACCATAAAGAACTTTAATAATACAATAGCTGTTTTAGATCTACGTGATTCATCTTTACAAATCATTTTTTATTTACCACCTGAAAACCTACAAAACTATGAGGCAAAATTTGTAAAGCAATTTACAATCATGGGAATAGAGAGACATTTTTATAATCAAAGGTAATGTAAATGGATGTCTTCTTATTAAATTATACTAAACAAAATTAATTATACAGTTTTTAGTCATTTAGATTTTGGTTTCATGGAAATGCGAATAAAAGTTTTGACATTTAATAATCATATATCAACCTATTCATCTCCATGCCATCGCACAGCTGATAATTTTTCATATACATATTTTTTTGAAAATTACAAAATCACGTAAGTTTTTTTTTTTTTAATGGGTTAAGTTTGTGTTACTAAATTCATTAAATGTATTTATATACAATATAAATAGGTAATTTGCATTTATGTTTTAATGTTATTTTTTATTTCAATGCAAATAATTGTTATGTTATCATTTCAGTGGTTCAAGTCCTAAAAATGATATTTACAAACTATGTTTGAGTGCAGTTCAATCTTTAATCGAAGAAAATGTGAATAAAGTAACCATTAAACAACCTATTATGGCGATTTCTTTTTTTCACGAAACTGCATTAAAAGCTAAATTAATTCGTATGTAAATTAAAACATAATATTATCATATATCGTATTGATATTATTATGTTATTATTCTTAATTTAATACACATAATATAATGATTTAGGTAATACTGGGAAACGCATAACTATTGAAAAATTTAATAATGCTGCAAAACGTAAGTTGTTATTATTTATAACTTAAAGTATTAGCTAAATGTATTTACAGATATTCATAATGCATCAATAATTAATAAAAGGAATAACTTTTTTAAAGAATGTTTTAGAAAAACTTTTGACGGTAGTAAACCATTCAAATGTTTCGATTTGGTCTATATTTATGTATTATTTAGTCAACTAATTGATTTTGGTGACAATCCTTCAATCACTGTTTGTATATTAATTCAATAAGTTTATATGATTTTAAAATTGAAATTCATAAAATGCTTACATACTTTAGGTCAAGAAATATGATATCATTTCTGAAATAAGTTGGGCCCTTGGAGCTGATTATCTAAAGCTACCTATAATTGATAATGACTGAACATGAAACATTTAAAGTTGCTGAAAAATGAAGATTAATGTTATTTGTTTTGTTGATATTTTTTAATGTTGTTTACTATAATACATAACATATTTATATATGTAATGTGTATTCATATAACCATTATATCATAGATATAGCTAAAATTAAAAATTGTGTATTGACTTATTCAAATTTTACTGCCTCAGATTATGTGATATACCCATTACTCTTTTAATAACACATTAAAATTATTATATTATCATTAAGTTAAGTAAGTGTTAAATAATGACCCATAAATAAATTACTGTATTTGTACGAGTATACCTATAGATACTATAATCATGCATGATGTGACTTATGACTATACCCATTTAGTATTTACTGTCAGTTGTGTTGGTATTTCAACTGTGTTACAGTACTAAATTTTATGTTTAGTATTTTAAATTTTATTATTATTATATTATAGTACTTGTATCTTTATTTAGATATTAAAATTAATAGAAATTTAGAAACAAAAAATAATAAATATAATTGTTGGTATGCTTCGTTCCCGGTTACGTATTGCTTTATTTGAAATTCTGGGTTTGAGAATATTAATAAATAAATAAAAATACTTTATTGACTATTTTATCGATTTCATTCAACAGTCTTAAACCAGCGGTTAATGCGAATACAAGTGGTGTTTTCTCATATATTTATCTTTCAAAAACTTTTAGCATAGTTTAATAAATCATACATTATATCAGCCTGTAACAAACATAATTTAGTTGAAAACTAATATCTAACGTTAATTCAACTTAATTAATTTAATTTCTGTTATTAAAAATAATAATATAATTTTCTCACTTCTTGTTTGTCATTGTACAATTGAACTAAACTACCTTCATGTACTCGACCAGTATAGTCTAAAATTCATAATAACCTAAAAATTTAAATAAAACAACAATAATTATTGTTATAAGCTTGTATATAAATTCTAAATAAGCGCTAGGCAATACAATACATGTCATGTCCGTATAAACAATAATATTTATATTTTTAGTAAAATATATTAAGTTAAACCAATACCTAGCAATAAATAATGTATTAATTATATTAAATATTTACTAGCTGAATTACCAGCATCAACCGGTTTATTCTACAATACAACTGATTGAGTGGCTTATATTATTCTATTTGTTAAAACTGGCACAATACTAGTATAATAATTATGGAGTATTTAGATTATTGAATAGGTAACAAATTAAAAAC